CTGGGTGATTTTGAGCCAGTCCTTCCCTCTCGGCCCTAGGAAGCAGGCAATGGCGAAGGGAGGCACTCAGAACGCAGTCAGCCTGTGCAGGAAGATGGTCCCCAGGGACACCAGGCCCCCCACACACTTGCTGCCTTCTGTTTGGATACAGATCTATCAGGTACAGATAATCAGAGTTGGAAGGGACCTTGCAGGTCATCTAGTCCAACCCCCCCACCCAAGCGGGAGACCCTACACCATTTCTGACAAATGGCAGTTCAATCTCTTCTTGAAAGCCTCCAGTGATGAAGCTCCCACAACTTCTGAAGGCAACTTCTGTTCCATGGGTTGATTGTTCTCCCTGTCAGAAAATTTCTCCTTATTTCCAGGTTGAATCTCTCCTTGGTCAGTTTCCATCCATTATTCCTTGTCTGGCCTACAGGAGCTTTAGAAAATAGCTTGACCCCTTCCTCCTCTCTGTGGCAGCCCCTCAAATATTGGAAGATGCTCTCCTGTCTCCCCTGGTTCTTCTCTTTACTAGACTAGCCAAGCCCAGTTCCTGCAACCGTTCATCGTAAGTTTTAGCCTCCAGTCCCCTAATCATCCTGGTTGCTCTTCTCTACACTTTTTCTAGAGCCTCAACCTCTTTTTTATAATGTGGTGACCAAAACTGGATGCAGTACTCTAGGTGTGGACTTACTAAGGCTTTATAGAGCGGTATTAGTCCTTTCCCTTGATCTTGACTGTGTCCCTCTGTTAATACAACTGTCAGCTGGTGCTCCGTTTAAAGTCCAAGAAAGAAATACTTAGACTCTTGTAATTAGAGAAAAGATATCTTTTTACTGGAAATCAGTGGTAGCAACGAGAAAATTCTGAATCTGGGGAAATAGGCACGTACATCACATATATCAATGTTCCCACCCCCAACAGTTCAAACGGTTCTTCCAATTAAAAGTTGTGAACTTCATCGTGCGGACATCTCCAGGTGGTGATGATTAGTCGACCTTGGCTTACTCAGATAAAGGGTTGCAGTTGCGCAGAGAAGAGAAAGCTAAGCAGGAATTAGAAACCCTCTCCAGTTTATACAGCATCAGTTGGTAACGCTTTCAGCTCACGTCCCATACATTTCCCACTTCCACACACACCCCGTTACTCATGACAGCCAGAAAGAAGCAAAGGAAAAGAGGAAGATCTTGAAGGCTGACAACAACTTAGAATTGCATTAGCTATTTCGGTGTCTGCTGCACACGGCTAGCTCCTATTTAGCTGGTTGTCCACTAAGACTCCGAGATCCCTCTCCCAGTTCCTGCTATTGAGCCTGGTTTCACCCAGTTTATATGTGTACTTTTGGTTTTTCTTGCCTGTGTAGGACTTTACTTTTCTCTACGTTGAATTTCATTTTGTTGGATACGGCCCAGGGTTCTGGTCTGTCGAGATCCATCTGGATCTTGAGCCTATCTTCTTGGGTGTTAGCTATTCCTGCCAGCTTAGTATCACCTGCAAATTTGGTAAGTTCCCCTTCTATTCCCTCATCTAAGTCGTTCATGAAGATATTGAAGAGTCCTGGGCCCTAAGACGGAACCTTGTGGCACCCCACTGCTTACTTCCCTCCATGTCGACTTAGATAGGTTTGTGCACCTAGGGGACGGGGCGGCCCGTCACTGGCCCCAGAGTGGCCCCACAGATCTAAGGCTGAATGTGTTTTTCCGCAGATGGCCACCGCTGGGTTGTAGATCAGTGCCTCGTCGGCCTGGACCAGGCCAAAGCACCATGGGCCAGTCCTTCGCTGTTTCCAGGGCGGTTCCGCGGGGCCAATCTAACCACATTGCGGACCAAATCCGCCCCCTCGGGCTTGGAGTTTGACACCCCTGCCCTATACCATTTCAGACAAACGGTTGTCCAATGTCTTCTTGAAAACCTCCAGTATTGGAGCGCCCACAGTTTGTTGTGGCCTGCCAACTGCCAGTGGAGCTGGCGGTCAGACTCGGACGATGAGGAGGCTGGGGAGGAAGGGAAGGCTCTGATGGATGCTCTGCATCAGATGCAGAGAAAGAGCCCAGGGCCGTCTGACATTTCCCAGCCACTGGAGAGGCAGCTGCCTTTGGAGGCTGAGATGAATGGGGAGGAAGAGCAGTTGGAGCCTGTTCCGGACATGCATATGCGCAGAGCTGCTAGGAGAGGGGAACAGCGGAGGTCAAGGAGTCGACTCGGGAAGCGAAGCACATTGGGATGCTGAATGGCCCCCTCCCTGGCCAGGGAATAAATAGAAGGAAAGGGGAGTGGTGGTTGTAGGAGTCAACAGTTCATCTTTCTGAAGATTTGGCTCACCGTGCTTCGTGCCTCAGAGACTGTTTGCCAGAATTTAATTTGCAGCTTTACCGCTGGGAGCTCATGGCCTGGCAATTATCTTTGGGAACTGATAAAGTCTATTATTTCATTTAACTCTTTGAAGGGCTACTGTCTGGACTTTTCGGTGTGCGAATACCATTCACAGGAGATAAATAAAGCGAAGTTTTCGGAGGAAGGGGTCTGTTTCTTGTTTCTGCTAAGGCTGAGTCAGAACAGAATTTCTGAAGGCAAGCCATTCCACTAGTTCTCACCATTAGGAAATTTCTCGTTTGTTCTGGGTTGCTTCTCTCCGTGGTTAGTTTCTCTCAGGCCTCTGTCAGAGTCCGAATCCAAGGAGGAAGATGAACAGCTGACAGGAAGTGGGACTGTGGCTCCCTTGGCTTTGGAGGAAACTGGGGAAGGGCAAAGTCCACCTGAGCAGAACAGGGGGAGGTAGAACAAGGGAGAGGGGCGTTCAGAGGAAGACCCAGGCCACCCCGTCTTCATCCTAGGGCCACATAGGGAGGAATGGAGAAGAGAGCAATGTAGATTGTGTGGCTTACGGGGCAGGAAAGGGCCCTGATTCCCTTCATTAACTGCAGCTGGGAAGAGAGTTTATAAGAAAGGCAGGTTGGCTTTATTTTGTGTTGACTTTGCTTATCTGTGTTCCTGGCGTCGTCCCAACCATGTTGAGTTTTGCCTTGCTTTCAAGTCTGAAATTCTTGCTCCTGCCCTGCCAAACTAATTGCTTCAGTTTGGCTTATTTGGACTTTAAGTTACAGTTTGTGTTGACCTTGTTTTGGACTTAATTTTCTGCAGTCAAAGGCAGTTCCTGGAAGAGTTTTTCTTCAGCCAGAAGCCAACCTGGACAATGGGGGCAAAGTTGGAGATAATAAAGGGACTCTTATTGCTTATCTGACTGTGTTGCCTTTGTGCCACGCCCCTTTGGGTCATCACAGTTTCCACCCATTGCTTCTTGTCCTGCCTTCAGATGCTTTGGAGAATAGCTTGACTCCTTTCTCTTTTTGGCAACCACTGAGATACCAGAACACTCCTACCATGTCACCCCTCGTCCTTCTTTTCACTAAACTAGACACACCCAATTCCTGCAATCATTAAACTGTTGTTACAGGCTTATAACATGGCTTATTTAGTATCTGATGACTATCGCTGAATATATTATTTGCGATGGTTGTACTTTATGATTAGTATCATGATAGGGACTCTAGGTGGCCGAATAGTGGAACTCTTGCCTCCCAATCAGGAAGCTGTGAGTTCGATCCTGGGCAGAGGAAGAAGATATTTCTCTGAGCACAATGAGAATAGATCTGCTGGAGAAAAAAAACACCGCACTGGTGATGGGAAAGGTATCCGGCCAGTAAACACTCGGCTCCATTCCGTTGCCCAGACTCCGCCCCTCAAG